TCACAGGCCATAGTTAGACTACAGTAAGATTTTATTTCAGTATTTCATAATTTCTGAAATCTAAAATTTCCTACAACTGATATGTACATTTAATGTACTAATGTTTCTTACTTGTTAGAAAAACCTCTTAAATCAATGGTTGATCATAAACTTGAGAAAATTTAAGTACTTGTCTAAACCAGATTCCCCCTAGAAAGCAGAGTCTAGGACAACAGCTTACATACAGGTCGCTTATTTTAGGATGTGAATCCTAGGAAAGGTGAAACAGGAAAGGAGGGGGAAAGAGTACAAGGCTATATTAATACATTGGTTGACCTGTACTACTGTTAACAATTTTGACTCGTCCTACTGGGATCTTTACAAGGCAGCTCTAGACAGCAGAATTTTGCCATAATGGAAATGTCCTATATCTGCCCTGCCCAACATGGGAGCCTCTAGCCATAAGTGGCTATTGAGCACTTGAAGTATGGCTAGGTGAGGATATTTAAATTTAATTTACATTTAATTTACTTTAATTTAAATTAATTTAAATTAAATTTTAATTTAATTAACTTTAATTTAAATTAATTTAAACATGGAGCTGGTGGCTACTGTATAGGAAAACACAGTCCTGAAAAGTCTTGCAGAATCCACCTCATAGTTATAAGGTGAGTAATAAGGCATGCCAGATAATGCTCATTTGAAATTCTATTTTGTTCACTCATGTCTCCCAAGTTCCTAGAAAAATTCCTAACACTCAGTGGGCCCTCCATAAATATTTGTTGAATAAATCAGTAGTATTTGGGTCCACAAAGTAAATGGTTCTCTTTAAAAGCAAGACTCTATTAGAGCAAATTCAATTCAATTAAAATAGTAAGCAACTATTATATCTAAGAAATAAGTAGTAAGGGGGACTTTGAGGAGACTGACGGGGCTGAAATGTGATTATGAAAGAGGCAAGATGAGGCTCTTGAAGATTCTGATCCAAAGGACATTTATTAAAATTCAAGTAAAAGTCCTAAGGTGATCTTTTCTCACAATCTGCTTCTATTATCAACTACTAAACAATAATGCATGAAGTAATTCAGTATAATCCTTTGTTTTGATTCTTTAGTTACTGTTACCACAAACAACATTTAGCTAAATGGAATTCCAGAAGGAAAAAACCTTATTTCACCACTGTTGCCAATTCTCTTAAAAAAAAAAAAAAGAATTTAAAATTTGTTTCTCAAAAGGCACTATTAAAAATAATGAATTGGCAAGTTCGAGATGGGAAAAAAATCTTCACAATACATATATCTATTATATATCTATAGTTACTACATACACTATTATATATGTATATATAGTTATATATATAATTACTCAAATCAACAATTAAAAGGCAAGCAATAACATTTTTTAATGTTGAAAGAACTCTTCACAAAAGATATATCAATAACAAAGTACAGGAAATGGTATTCAATGTACATCGAAGAACGTCAATAAAAAAGCCCCCCAAAACCCCAAAACACCACTTGACACTCATTAGGTTAATCTAAAAAACCAAATGTTGATGAGGCTATGGGACAGGAAATCTCCCACAGTGCTTACAGAGCATAAAATGGTACAATATGGGAGAGGTCTGGGAGTTTCTAACAAAGTAAACATGCATCTACTTTATGATCTGGCACTTTTAGGCATTTTACCTAAAAGAAATGAAGACATTTTCCACAAAAATCATGTACAGTGATGTGTATAGCAACCTCATTTGTAATAGTCAAAAAGTGAAAACAACCCAAATTCTATCAAAGGGAAAAAGGATAAACAAATCACAATTTACCCATACAATGGAATACTAACTCAGCAATAAGCAGGGATCAAAAGGTGATGCATGCAACATGAAGGAATCTCACAATCATCATGTTGTGTGAATAAAAGCAAGACACAGAAGAATATCTACGATATGATTCTACTTATATCAAATCTAAGAATAGACAAAGCTAATCTTAGTTTATAAAACTCAGAAGGTGATGAGGGAGAAGTAGGCACTGACTGAGAATTTTCCAAGAAGATGAAGACATTCCATATCCTGACTTGGGTAGTGGTTACGTGGATGTATACACCTGCCAAAATTCACTGAACCAGGGCACCTGACTGGCTCAGTCAGTGCAGTGTGCGACTCTTGATCTTGGGGTTGTGAGTTTGAGCTCCATGTTAGGTGTAGAGATTACTTAAAATAAACAAACCAACAAACTTTAAAAAAATTCACTGAACTGTACACTTAAGATCAGTACAACTTACTATATGTGAATTTTTCCTTTCAAAGAAAGAAAAGTAGGGGTGCCTGGTTGGCTCAGTTGGTGAAGCATGTGACTCTTGATCTTGGGGTCATGAGTTCAAGCCCCACATTGGGTGTAGATGTTACTTAAGAAAAGTAAAATATTTTAAAAAAAGAAAGAAAGAAAATAGAGGTTGATGTGGAAGAACCATTCAGTACATATTAATATCCTTTTCTACTCCATGTTCCAGAAATACAATGTTGTAAAAAATGGAAGCCAGCATAACTTCACTTTTCAAAAATTGATTGCAAAAATACGGGTCAGCCACCTGCATATCCTAATTATAAAATAGTTCAATTAATATAAATGATGCAACTTGCCTGGTATTGGCTACTTCATGATAAAAAAAAAAGTTAAAATGGAGTTGGCCTTTTATTTATTTTTTCAATAGTGTGATAGAATAGTAAGAGCATTAAATTAGCAGCTAGAGGGACACCTGGGTGGATCAGTTGGTTAAACATCTGCCTTTGGCTCAGGTCATGATCTGGGGGTCCTGGGACTGAGCCCCGAGTTGGGCTTCCCGCTCAGCAGAGAGTCTGCTTCTCCCTCTTCCCCTCCACCCCATTTGTGCTCTGTCTCTCTCTCAAATAAATAAAATCTTTTTTAAAAATTTAGCAGCTAGAAAACCTGGTTTTCTAGTGCTGGCTCTACCATTTAACAGCTTTGTGATTTTTTTTTTTAAGATTTATTTTTTTTTGAGAGAGAGAGCATGTGAGCAGGAGGAAGGGGCAGAGGGAGAAGGAGACGAAGCAGACTCTGTGCTGAGTGCAAAGCCCAATGAGGGTCTCGATCTCACAACCCATGAGATCATGACCTAAGCCGAAACCAAGAGTCGTTCACTTAACTGACTGCCACCCAGGCGCCCCAAGCTTTGTGATTTTTTTGTATATCAGTATACCTCTGTGAGCTTCAAGTTCCTTTACACTTATAAAAATGTAGGTAATGATTCTTTCCTTAAAGACTACTGGGAGATCAAATTAAATACACACACACACACACACACATGCCATATATATATGAATATGAGTACACTGTAATGGAGAAGTATACTATACACAGCAATGGTTGCTTAAATAGTCTTTGCTAACTATTGAATATATGAATACATACCGTCCATTTCACATTTGGGCGAGCAAGTGGAATAAATCTTCCATCAAACATATGAGAAAATGGCCCATGACCTTAAAAACAAAAGCAGCCTTAGAACAAGGAAATTGCTTGTAAACTGGTAAAGTGTAAATCTATTTTTTTATCTTTTTAGCTTAACTTGAAAATGAACAGAAATTAATAATCTATAAGTACATCACAAAAAGGGACAAGCAAATCCTTCCTTCCTATTTTCTAAAACAAGAGATTAGGAAATAAAATCATATAGGAAAGTCAGGTGTCCATGGAGGGTCTCTGAGTTATCAGAGCTTACATAAATCTGATGAAAGGATAGTTCTGTGTTAACTAAAAGGAATGTTAAGGAAAAACCTTTGGCATCTTCAGATTGAATATATTAGAATAGCCATTTTAAGACAATCCCTTGGGGTGCAGGAAGAAAATAATATAACTTTATTTTTCTACTCTCATCCTTTAAAAACATCTTTTTTCATGTAAATTTTATAATGTACATAATATATTTTACAGTAAATATACACACTTGGATTTTTACTGCTGATGTGGGCAACCAAAAGTGGAGATCACTAGTTTATCTTATTCATAAGTGATTTTTAACATTCCACTCATTTAATAATATGAAACTTTGTTGACACACAACTCTATAATTACCAGAATTTCTGAAATGAGTTAGTTGGCTGAAGAGGGACTCCACCTGGACCAGCCCTGGGTCTTTCTGCAAATCGCAGTCTATACAAAAAGGCTCATGGGCGCCTGGGTGGCTCAGTCGTTAAGTGTCTGCCTTCGGCTCAGGTCATGATCCCAGGGTCCTGGGATCGAGTCCCACATTGGGCTCCCTGCTCTGTGGAGAGCCTGCTTTTCCCTCTCCCACTCCCCCTGCTTGTGTTCCTGCTCTCGCTGTGTCTCTCTCTGTCAAATAAATAAACAAAATCTTAAAAAAAAAAAAAAAAAAGGCTCATGAGTGCAGTATTCAGACTCCTTAGAGACTGGCAAAGGTTTCCCAATGATACCCTCTCAAAATACCTAGAATCTGTTAAATTTATCATCTAGGAGTGATATTGGTCTACTGACATCTCCAAGGGGACAAGCTAAAGAGAGTGCCCTACCCCTTTAAGAATCTGGCTAGGGGCGCCTGGATGGCTTAGTCGTTAAGTGTCTGCCTTTGGCTCAGGTCATGTTCCCAGGGTCCTGGGATTGAGCCCCACATCAGGCTCCCTGCTCAGCTGGAAGCCTGCTTCTCCCTCTCCCACTCGCCCTGCTTGTGTTCCTGCTCTTGCTGTCTCTCTCTCTGTCAAAAAAAAAAAGAATCTGGCTATTTTGAAACACAGATACCTCCCTTTCTCTGCCCTGAGGGCACACACAAACTCTTAGACCCCTCCAATAGGTAGGAATAAACTACAAAGAGATGGGGGTAAAAACTCCTATAACAAAGAGGACAATCTCTTTTCTCTTTCTTTGTCAAAGAAGGATGATACTCTTCTACTTGGATTTAAGTGGTCCAAGACCTCACATGGGTCAGGGAAGAAAAGGAGTTCTCTAAATCTGTTGTTAATCTGCTAGGGCAGATTATGTATTCTGGGTATGAGAAGAATGGATTTGATAAAGTAACTGAAAGAAATATGGCAATTTTTCAACAAGAAGAATAAAACAAAGATAAAACTCACATTCTCCTAAACACAGTAGTCAAAAAAATTTCACTATCATAAAGTCCTTTCATATAACTTGTAGCAAAGATGTGTAACATGGGAAATACACTGAAAGACTACAAAAAAAAAAAAAAAGAGCAATGCTTTGGGCTTATGAATCACGCTAGGAAGAAGCAATGGCATATTTAGATTAATGTTAACTGCAGAATTAAAACATAATTTTCATATATCTTTTGGTTAATCAGATTTTTTAATTTCAAAGAGAGATAACACATTATGGTTTTACATGAACAACTTTGGTTCTTTGTACAGCATACCGAGATCATGACAAAGGCCAGCAATCTGAACACAGAGCACATCTCGTGCACTTATCTGCAGCTCTGGTTGTTTCTCACGCAGTGCACGAACCAGACATCCTGCTAGATACCCTACACTGCAGAGTAAGCAAAACAAAAAACAACATAAAGTCACTCTTCCATTTGAAAGACGATACTTCCGGACCTCAAGAACTTTAACATGTTTCTCAAATGCTCTAATACATGTCTCTAACAAGTTAACAGAGTAGTCAAGTAGTCTGTTTCAGAACTAGGCAGAAACACACAAACAGAATCCCCAAAGCAGGACCACAATCAGTAATCATTAGGGAAATGTAACATCAAAATCGCAATGAGCTACCACCCTCACACGCGTTAGAAAGGCTATTATAAAACAAAACAAAACAAAACCAAACCACAAATGTCGGCTAGAACGTGGAGAAATTAGAACCCTTATGCACTGTTGTTGGGAGTGTATAATGGTGCAGCCACTATGAAAAACAATATGGTAGCTCCTCAAAAAATTAAAAATAAAATTACCATATGATCCAGCAGTTCCACTCTGGGTATACACCCAGAACACTAAAAGCAGGGTCTCAAAGAGATATATGCACACCCATGTTCATAGCAACACTATTCACAATAGCCAGAGGTGGAAGCAACCCAAGTGTCCACTCACAAATAAAGGGATAAACAAAATATGGTATAAGCATATAATTGAGTATTACTCAGTCTTAAAAAAGAATTTGTCACACATGCTCCAACATAGATGAACTTTGAGAAAATTATGCTAAGTGAATTGAGCCAGTCACAAAAAGACAAATACTGTAGGATATTACTTATATGAGATACCTAGAATACTTAAATTCATAGAAACCAAAAGCAGAATGGTGATGACCAGAGGCTAGAGGGAGAGGAGAATGGGGAACTGTTATTTAATGGGTATAGAGTTTCAGTTTTGCAAGATGAAAAGGTTCTGGAGTTTGGTTGCACAATAATATGGATATATTTAACACTACTGAACTGTACACTTAAAAATGGTTTAGATGGTAAATTTTATATTCTGTGTATTTTACCACAAAAAAATTTTTTTTCAAAGAAGCAGGACTTCTGGCTTTGTAATGCTGACAACACAGATAGAAGATAAAGTGCCTGACAAATGTTAAAAGCACTTTTAGCATTTCCCCCTAAAAGTAATTCCTGAGAATACAATATCTTTCTTTCCCCTTTAACTCTGAACTCCACGAAGTTAGACACAATTGCTACCTTGTTGGTTTGGTAGGGCCTAGTGAGTTTTCAATAAATATGTGTTGATGAATGAATGTACATTTGGGTAGACACTTGTGTTCCTGCTATTAAAACCACTTGAAAAAAAAAAAACCCACAAAAAACAAAAAACACTTCAAACAAACAAAGCAAAGTAAAACAGTGTGAGTACTTCATGAAACCTAGAAAACTGTCCAGTTCTTCCCAGCCCATATTCTCCTGGCTCCAGATTTTATAATGGAAAAGCAGACCGAATTCTCAACTTAGTTGTATGTAACAGAGGTTCTACCTTCTCTAAGTTTATGAATATTTTCCTGATCTACAAATTTCCTGATAGGTGAAGAAAATCTTCTGCTTTGAAAGGCAATTCTGTACAAGACTAAACAGGAAAATTTAAAAAATCAAACTTACAGTTAGTTATATCAGTAACCAACCCAGTTAGGTTTTAAATATTTAAACACAAATTTGTCATCCAAATGACCTGTCAATAGACAGTTTATCTTTCCAGTGAAGATCTGAACTGGCTTGTAAGAATACATAAACAAAATATAGCAAGGTACATCAAAGCCTCAATTTTCTCATCAACAAAATATGGATATTATTACCATTTTGTAAAACTGTTCTCTAAAAGATGAGACAGTCCTTTCATGATAAAGAAGGTACTTAATAACTGTAAATTCCCCATTAACTGCCTTCTTACCCTAGACTGTGCTCAAATCGATTGTGTGAAGCGCCTGGAAAAATGTAGTAACTGCCTCCCAACTGTTTGATATATCGAAGCCGCTGAAATTGAGGTGTGTCGATGATTCGGATGAGGAGAGGGTGGAGTTCAATGTGGCCATGGATAGGATCATTAATTACCTAGAAAATTATGTTTAAATTAATATCAGTAACAATATGTAACTCCATCTAAAATTTTGTGCAGCTATTCCTATCTACAGTGTACAAAGCTATTCAATTGTTCTCAAGAACAAGACTACAGGAAATAATAAGATATTAATATCATTACCTTACTAACAGACAGATCAAGTATATTGGATCTGAGTATATTTTACTTCTTAATGGATTCTAATAATAGAAAGATAAGGACTTTAATCTTTTTATTATGATTTGATTAGCCTTTAATAAGTTAGTCTTGAATTCAAGTTAAACATACTTATTTAACACACTCGTTCAGATCATAAAAGCATATTACTATAGGCAGTGTGTATATTTTTTTCCCCTAAATGTATCTATATACTGCCCATTAGGGAGAGAGGGAGGGAGTGAGGAAGAAAGGAAGCTTCCTATCATAAAGATAAGAAATCTGAGGCAGGAAAATAAAATTCTATACTACTTAATATTACTCAGAAATACTTAGTAAAAATAAATTTTACAATTACTTCTTACTCTAAGTTTGAACAGGGTTAAATATGGGTGAAGATTTAATGCCTCTCTATATTTCTTTAAATAAAGATACTTCTTGGGGCACCTGGGCCCTCAGTCAGTTAAGCGACTGACTCTTGGTTTCGGCTCAGGTCATGATCTCAGGGTCGTGAGATGGAGCTCTGTGTCAGGCTCTGTGCTCAGAGCAGAGTCTGCTTAAGATTCTCTTTCTGGGGCGCCTGGGTGGCTCAGTCGTTAGGCGTCTGCCTTCGGCTCAAGTCATGATCCCAGGGTCCTGGGATGGAGCCCCGCA